ACTGTACAGTGAGTATCAGTGCGGTATTAGATTGTAAAGTGAGTACTACTGCAGTGTTGTACTGTACAGTGAGTATGAGTGCGGTATTGGACTGTGCAGTGAGTACTAGTGCAGTGTTGTAGTGTACAGTGAGTATCAGTGCGGTATTAGACTGTGCAGTGAGTACTAGTGCAGTGTTGTACTGTACAGTGAGTATGAGTGCGGTATTGGACTGTACAGTGAGTACTTGTGCAGTATTAGACTGTACAGTGAGTATTGGTGCAGTGTCCTACAGTGCAGTTCTGTGCTGGGATCAATGCCACGTGATGGCACACTGAGTACCAGTCCATCAGTCCACTGTCCGTCAGCACTGTACTCACAGACAGAGAGCAATCCTTGTCCAGCTTGTATTTGGCCGCGATGCCAAAGCGCGTGTTATTGCTGCCCGCCGTCCAGGCCAGCGTCACGGCCGTCTCCAGCTCGTCGTTCACTTTCTGGTAGATGGAGCCTCCGAACTCCGTACCGTCATTCCTGAGAGTTAGAGAGAAAGAGGTGTAAGAGGGCGGCGACAGTTACCAGTACCACACACTTCGCTCCAATACCACCTGGACCGGACCACCCCGCTGCGGAGCCCGTACTCACACGTTGGTGTGCAGCTGGAAGTCCCCGGCGCGGTACCCCAGGGCGAAGTTGTTCTGCACCAGCTTGGACTTGGCGGTGTCGAAAGCCATCTGGTACCCGGCCAGCCAGCCCTCGTACCCGATCACCGCCGCGCCGTGGACCGTGGGCCCGGCGAAGTCGAAGTCGACGTCGCAGCCCAGGTTGACGTAGTCCCGCTTGTAGGCCGTCTTCAGCTTGCCGCTCTTCTTGCTGAGACGCAGAGAGACGCGGGTGAGGCGCGCCGGCCGCAGCCCGCGGCGAGCTCGCGGGTACGCGGGACAGGACGACACTTACCCTGTGTTCGGGACAAAGGAGGTGTCAAAGGTCAACTTCAACCCCTTGGCCAGCTGCGGAGGAGACAAACACAGACACATCAGCTCTCTTTCTACAGCCCCGAAGTCACGAGCACAGCCAGCTGGGGCCTCGTCTAGGAGTCTGTCCTTCCGGTCGTCCGAAGAGCATGTTTCTGGGGCCTGATGCTTTCCAAAGGACTTCGTGTCCTGCAGCCTTCCTGGAGGAGAGCTCCTGGATTCTACAGCTAATGGAAGGGCTGTCACTGGTCTTCCGGTGATGTATCCTCACCTGTTTGAGTTGCAAATTCTGTCTCGCACGTTTCTATTTCTCTCTCTGTGAAAGCTAGAGGGCAGACTGTTCCCTACCAGTTCTGGTCCCTATCCAGCATTAAAGGGGAGGCCGTTCTGGCTCCACTCAGGCTGGTCTGTAAGAGTCGCCCATGTACGTGTGCCTGTGTGTCAGTGTGAAAGGGCAGTCAGTTTTGGCCACAGTATACTCTGTATGGCTGGTCTCACTCTTGAAGAGGAGCCTCTTCCTTTACAGGAGTATGGATGTAAAAGGGGGCCACTGTTTCTCAGATACATCCTGGTCTGTGTCTGTTTTGAAGGGGAAGTCACTGTAGTCTCCCTCAGCATCTCCTGCCTTGGTGTTCGGAGTTGTATAGTCATGTAGCTGTGTGTGTGTGTGTGTGTGCACGCGGCTCTTAAAGGAGAGGCCACCTGCCCCTCACTCCACCTGGTCCTCCAGCGTGATCTCGGAGGCGAGGGTGTTGTCCGTGTTCCACTTCTGGCTGAAGCTCAGACCCAGGTCCTTCATCTTGTACTTGGTCTCCAGATTCCCAGAAGCCTTCCCTGTGTCCGTGTTGGTGGAGCCGGTGGTGGAAAATTCCTGGGCCAGAGAGAGGGATAGCAGGGCGGGAATAATTGGGAAGGAGAAGGAAAGAGTGAGAGTCAAAGAGAGGGGGAGATAAAGAGAGAGAATCTGGAGTTAAGAGAGGGCCCTCTGTCACACAAGATGTCAAGTGTGTTCACACTGGAATGAATCTCCCAGGACAGGTCAGCCGAGTGTGAACAGAGTGCGAACAGGGGCCATGTGACCCTCCCTTGCAAAGACCACTGTGAAAGGCCCTGGGTGCGCAGGAGTGTGTCGGAGCTCTGCACTTACAGGGAGCAGAGGGCTAAGACCCACCTGCTGCCTGGACCCTGTCTGCAATAGCGAGAGGGAGGCAGGGAGAGAGGAGACGACACAGCAGCAGCGCACAGACGCTGCTCCCAGACCGAGGAGCTGGGAGAGAGCAGCTCGCACACACATACACAGACGCAGCAGGGAGCCCACCGCTGACACCAACATTCACACTCTTACCATCTACAGCGCAGTCCAGGCAGCGGGAGGAAGAAAGGGAGAGAGAGCAAAGAGAAGGCAGAATTAGGACAGGACCCAAGCAGCCCCAGGACCCCACCGCCCGCACCAGCCAACTCCTGACCCCGCCAGGGTTACCTCTCCAACCTGTCTCCTTGTCCCGCGTGCCACATACAGGACAGACCGAGAGACACAGACACTCACCACTCCGCTCTGAGACTTGGTCTTCAGGTCCAGCTTCACCACCCCAAAGCCTGACAGATGGAGA